TCCCTTTGCCGGCCAAAACCTCAGCTGGAGACTTTATCCACTCCCCCAAAGTCACGAGTTATAGTACAAGAAAAACCAACAAACAAAACGCCTCATCATGATGCCTCTCGAATTCCACTAATAACTTTCCGGCTCAAATGCCAAGTGATCTCTTGACGATGAGTGCAGCGGATCATACAACCTTACGCTGTCTCCGTCGAGTCAGCTGAGCTGTCTGTATCAAATGAGCTCATGCTGTCCGAACGCTCTGCCTTGGGCAGAGGCTCTGTCTCTTTCTCCAGTTCCGATGGGTCTGAGATACTACGCTGTCTCTCTGTTCGATTTTCGTCACCCGAAGATGCGTTTTCCTCATCCTCGTCGACATCTTCGTCGTCAGATCCGCTATCGCTGTCTTCGTCAAAGACAATTCTTCTGAGGACGTTTTTGTCAAACATCTCGAGAACCATGCGTCTAATAGGCAGGCGGTAGTGATTGTATTCAAGCATCGTCATGACGCGCCTGAACATTTTGGGACATCTAAAGCCTGCCACCTTGTGCTGCCTGATCTGCATCAGTTCACCCATTGCCCGCTTGTACAGAACCATGTTGCCGAGATCGACAACGAGATCCAGGATGCGTTGGTTGATGGCCTCTTCGTTGGTGAAGGCCGGCAGCTCTTCCTTCTCTAGAGGCGGACGCGCTTCTGTTGGTGGCGGCGGGGTCAAAAAGGTCTTTTGCGTATCTGGCAACGCAATCTTGGAGGCAATAGCGTGCTTCCAGGGTTTGAACGAGAAGAATTTGGATAGGTTATTGGGAATGCAGAATCCCATCGACTCTCCTCGCGGTGAAAGATTTGCATCCCATCCACATTCTGACAGGATCTCAAGACCGTGGGCGGATCGAGACACTAGTCCCAGGACGAAGAAGGCGGTGCCACGCAGACTCATCACCTCATGTTCTTCAGCAATCTTGACAATGTCTTCGATAACATCGCATGATTCGATAAAAGGGGCACCGAGCTCCATTGATCCCACGTTGCCGACAGCCCACATGGAGGCCTTGACCTTTAGCATGAGCTCAGGATCTTCCGACTGCATGCCGTATTCTTTGATCGTGCTGGCAAACTCAGCAAAGTGTCCCTTGTCGCTCAGTAACTTGCATCCCTCCTGAGTGCGTGCAAGCTCGCGATAGAAGTGCGGTGGAATGTGATTCTCTGGCTCGGTATCTGCTTGAGCTTCTTCCACCATGTTGATGCGGTTCTGGTGCTCTTCTGGATTCTCTAGGAATGCTTTGGCCAGGCTGGTTTCAATCACACCAACGTATGAGTCGTTTCGACCGAGGAACCAGTCATCCATCTCATTGCTGATGTAGTCAACGCCGTCGAGGTAGTGGTAGCCAATGGACGAAGACAGGAACCGCAGTAGGAGAGGAGCACCGATCTCTCCCAAGTGGTCCATTGTCGGACGACACTGGACGACATACTCCAGATATGCTTTCTTATTGCATGCCTTCTCGAGGATCTTAACTGCGGTTCGGCAGACCTCTACCTCGGGGTCGTATAGCTGGTCGCAAAGCTTCTCGATGGCCCACTTCCAGTCGATCTTGCCGTGGAATGGTTGGGATGCATCGAATGGTCGAGTGGCGTACTTCCGCAGCGCGTTCGTCGCCGTGATGCGAATCTCCCTCGTTCCAGACGTAAGAGCCTGTTCTATAAGCACCCGTGGGTGTCCCGGGATGCTGTAGTCAAAGTTTGAGAGAAGTAGTTTGATCAAGTCAGGGCGCTGCTTGTGCCCGAGAATGTGGTACATCATGTTGAACATTCTCCAGCGTTGTAGAAGCTCCAAGCCTCTGGGATCACCACTTAGGACTCCAAGCATGGGGAAGTATCCTGCGCAAAGTGTGCTTTGCAAGCGACCAGGGGAGAACATTGGGTCCGTGGATGTCAATCCGCTGCTCTGCATTGTTTGTTAGTGTCTTGATGAGGTTGCCAAGGAAGTGGTTTTTTGCTTACCGGGTCACATTGAGCGAGGCACTCAGCTATCTGCCGTAACATCTTATGATCTTGCAAGTACTGAAAGCCCTCATTTGACTGAAGCAGAGTGTGCATCAGTGTGCATCCGACCCTGACGTACTTTTGAGAATTCTTATTGCTTGTAAGATCCGAAAACCTGTGCTTAAAAGGCCGGTAGAAGCTCATGATCCTGTTCATAAACTTGGACACCCTGTTGACCTCGTCTAGTCGCTTTCCATCTTGAAGCGGCCCTTCGATGATTCGTGAGATAACATCCCAGTTCCATTTCAAGTAGTTGGAGCTATTCAGGACATTAGACTCCACCAAAAGCTGCCGGATTGCGCCCTCTTGAACCACAATCCCGGCGTTGCTTTTACGGTGCATGTCTGCGAGGTTGTCGCTGGAGGGGAGAGTTCCAGCAGTCGCGATAGACGGCGTGCTCCTATACAGCGTCTTGCTCACTGAGCTAATCTGATAAACTATGCCCGAGGCAACGAATCTGTTGTCGTCTTTGAACTGAGTCGCCGCAGCGAAGAGCTCCGGAAGCAGAGGTAAGTCGTTGCTCCACGTCGCGGGGAGGAGCCTGCTTGCCAGCTTCAGCACCTCGCCAATCAGGAGACACGTCTTTCTGGAGAGCTGAGGGTCACTGGTCCTGGCAACTTGGAGCAAGTTTTCCAATAGACCAGCTTTGACGAATGTAGCCAGAAGCAGAGCAGTGTAGTGATCCATGAAGTTTTGCTCTCCACTATCTTCCTCCACGGGCAGAGCATTGGCCGAGGGCGTCTGGTTCGGAACTGATTTGAGGCTCGCTACCCGTCCATATGTCGTTAGGCGGCGACCAGCTAGGAAGGAAGAAGCCCACGAGGGCGACTTGATCCGGAGAAGAAGGTAAATGAGATCGATTACTGTCTCTCGGATGGTTGCTTGTGGAAGCACCATGCTAGTGAGCAGCGACTTGATGGCTCGAGAGTCATGCATAGTCAGCATCATCAACCCAGGCCAACTCTTCAGGATCTTGGTGATTGCTTTGGCGTTCTGCTTCAGTAAGCTCTCATTTGCGAGGATGATATCTGTGAATGCCGTGAAGAGAACCTCCAGATCATAACCGGAGCGCAAGTAGATTCTCTTTTGTGGGTTATCCAAGATCTGCATATAAGACGCCGTAAGAGATTCAGGCGATTTATATGTTCCTTCGATCAAAGCCTCAGAGAGCGGTGAAAGGCCGCCAGAAGCGACTGCCAGGGCCGGGTCACGAAGCATAACCTCAGCAAGTGTTTCCAAGCAGATGGAGCGTAGACGATCTTCAGCCTGCTCTGCAACAGCGGCTATAGTCCTCACAACAGCGCGTGAAAGCTCTTTGACTCCATCCTTGACATCCAAAAAGGCCCGGACGAACTTCAAGGCCTGTTCACGCTCCAGATCTGCTTTTCGGTCTTTGATCAAAGATCTACGGTTGTTAGCTGTGGCTCGCAGTCTTGTCAATTGTAGAAACATGGCCAAACTCACGTCACAACAATGATGTCAGTATTCAGACTGCGGATCTTCTTTAAAGAAGACACATCTGAGATGGCATAGCGAATCATTCGGTAACCAGCTGCTACTACTTCTCTGGCCTCACTGAGCAGCATTACTTGCATGCGAAGACCGAACACCGACCATACCAGGTCATACTTGAGAGTTGGATGCCGCCTGAACAGATCAACTAGACTGTTTCCTCGACTAACATAGTACTCTGGCGGCATGCCCTCTTGCTCAAGGGCTTGTAGCAACTCAGCCAGGAGAAAGGTCGGTGACTGCTCAGCCGTCTCTTCATTGTCTGAACCAGCGCCACTGCGAGAGGCGCTAGGAGGTGAGCGCATGCCATTGTTGGCAGAAGAGAACAGTGGCTCGTTTGTCCTTTGTCTTGTGGGTGTGGTTGGAGTCGCCTTGAATCTCGAGGCATCTGTAATCTTCTGCCGTAGATTCTTGATGCGCTGGTTGGAGGCATTCAGCTCTGCTTCGACCTTGGCCCTCTGTTCCTTGGTTTGTTTTGCCTTCTTGGCGTTTAAGGCTTCCAGCATGTTCTCACTTCCGTCCTTGATCTTCATCTCTCGATTCAGCTGCTCCTTGAGAATAGCGAGGGTCTGCTCTGCAGCCGTGGCGGGATCTTCCTCGTCGACCTTATCGATGCTGTAGATGTCGCCTCGGGAGCCAGAGCGAGATGGCATCATCTGGCTGCGCAGCTCAGAACTAAAGCTCCCAGGGGCGATGGAGGGGTTGAGGGAAGAGCCTCGGGGTCCGAAGCTGACGCCCGAGGCGCCCAGACTTCTCGATCCATTGACAGAGGCGGATGGCGGCTGAAGGCCGCCGGTGCTCTCTATGCGCTCGAAACTCGGACGTGGATTGAGGGTATTGGCGCTCGATGCCGACTGTTGAGGCGAGAGTGCCTTTTGAGACTGTCCGGAGGCGCTCAGCATCTTGGCGATGCCTCTCTATGTTACCACCTTGCTACGGGGCTTCTCCGGAGGTTCTGGCATTCGGGCGACTGTTATTTCAATACCGCTCTGTTTTTTAGAAATTCGTTATCGGGGTGTCAGGGGGTCGGTGTTCGTAGTCGGGGTTCGTCTGCGTGGAGTAAAGGACTGTCGTCGATCGCTTGAATGAGGCTCTGTCGCGGTAGATGGGTAACGAGTTTCGAATCGAGGTTCGGACAATTCTTCAAATTGAAGGCGGTCGAAATATGGCGCGAGAGGTACGGAGGAGAAGGTGAATGTCCGAGTCGCAGGCTGTTGGGCGCGCAAATGGGCGAAGTTGGTCGGCCACCCGCAGAGCCACGCCAAGAGCAGGGCAGGACGTCAGTCCGAGTGGAGATGCGATGTGAGTCTAATGCTGAGGATATGCGATTGGCGCATCAGAAAGGGTTGATCGTTTGGATCTTTCGCAGGTTCCAGCCGTGGAAGACGGTCCCGATAACAGTGTCGCCTGAGGTCGGGCGAGATATCTGTGCCCTTGGGTTGTCTGTGATGGATGATTAGTTCTGGTGGAAGCAGTCGTCGCTGTTGTCGTTGTCTCGACTGTTGCGTGGTGCTGCGGCGTTCCAGCCGAGTGCTCGTTCGCGGCCCACAGTTGACGGTGAAGTACCTACTGTGTAAGGTAGGTACTGCGCAGTGCGTACTTGGTCGCCGGATACCAACTGAGCCTGGTCTTCAGAGCTTCAGGAGTGGGCCTGGATGCGCATGGGTTGCTGTCGCGGGCGTGGCTCAGCGGTGTTAACAGTTGAGAATGGTCGCGGGCGGGCTGTAGAGGTGTGGTTGCTGCCAATGTCACCTGTGGACCGCAGAAGGCGCTGATACTGGTGTCTGAGGTGGGTGGTGTTCAGGGGTGATTTCTCAGGGTGGTGCAGTGTCACGGCCACAGCTGCAGCGAAGTTGCGAGGTTCTCCTCTGTTCAAGCTCTCCAGTGCACCTCTGACTCTCAGGACGGGGTAAGCAGCGTCTGCGTCAGTTCGCCTTTGAAAGTATATTACTTGCCCTACGATGAGGTAAATTAAGGTGAAGAAAGGTGAGAGAAAAGAGAAATCTTGAGGTATGGCTTTGGGGTTGTCAAGGTAGGTAGGAAGGAATAGGGAGATACGGTAGGTAGGCTGTGTCTTGAAAGTACTTTCCAGCTCAAGTGTGTACGGATTTGGCAGCCCCAAGCCCATTGTTCGGGTTCAGATTGTTGGAGTCGGACCTCGTTCATGCACGCACACAGCCAAGTCCATTTTACCTCATTCATCATCCATCTTCAATGCTGATGTTCATCAACTTGAGATCACGTGTACAACACAACTTAGCTTCGGCCTGTCTATCTTATCTTCAAGCATTTATGTCCGAGAATCTGGAAAGAACTGATGATAAAATCTTACTTGCCCTCTCGGTGCGCTCTTTCTCCTTCGGCTCCTTCTGCTGCTGCTGGGCTATTGCTGCATGCGCCGTAACGCGGAAGGAAGCAGCCTTCCTTTAGTAGCCCCGCTTCTTGGTCGCTTCACCCCTCACCGAAAGCTTGGACCACGTCTCTCTCCCCTTTGGTGACCTTGGAAGATGTCGAGTACAAATACTTGCTCAGATAGGGCACCATGCCTCGTTATGCTTGGCTCAGACGGTAAGAGGACTACCTGAGAAGCCAATGGGGACGTTGCCGTCAGCTGCAGCAGTCTCTATTTCGAGCTACCTTCTAGCGTTACGTCTGCTGAAGGGGTACATCGTCATGGATAAGGTTGGCATCTTGTCGATAAGCCCCAGATAAGGCACGAAACCTTGACCCCATTATCTGTACAGATACAGGTGCAGCTCTTGGCACCACTAAGTTCTACCTTGACGCTCAACGATCAACGACCATCGACCTCCAATAATTTACAAGAATGATCGCCTAAAGTAGATCACGATAGCTTGAACAGCCTCATGTTTTCGTCAGCCTATCCTCCGATATGGTGCATGTTACTTGAGCTAAAGATCTTCATTATGGTTAGGTAAAGTGCAGTCGACGATGGCTTCAATCAATGAACCAGCTTCTATTCAAAGGAACCTGAAAAGACGGGCAGTCAACTTCGGGCGAGCCCATATCCGTACCTTTTTTGTATTGCATAGAGAGAAAAAAGGTGCTCGTGAACGCTCATCATGGACCATCCTACCGAGGAAATCCCTTGCCGTCTGAAGCTGCTTGTGCCACAGCATCAACTGCCACTACCAATGCTGAAACGCGGCCGGCTCCCCCATCCGCAGTCATTCGATGCCTCGGAGACACCCACCTCTATCCGTGTCAAGCAGACTTGCTGGTAGCAAGTACTGGTGGCGGGAGATAGGAACCAACGCCGAGGATCGAGACAACAGCTGCCAAAGAGTTCCCATCATCCACACAGCAAACATAATGGACAGAAATGATTCTGTCAGAATCAGTCACACACTACGGGATTTGCATCTTCGGCCTTTCGGTCTAATATCCACAGTCCCGAAATGGCGGGGGCCCCGGTTCCTTCGCGCGCCCGTCCTTGGCCAAACCCTCACCTCACCTCACCTCATCTCATCTCACTTCACCTTGACCTCACATCAGGTCGGAGAGCGGCGGCACAGGGACGGGCTTTGAGAGAAACGGCTTGCATGATGTGTGGGTTTCTTGGTGTTCCCATGTTGGTTGTGAAGCGTTCATGTACATTCTTCATCATTGTATGAAATATTGACCCTTACGCGGAGCCGGCCACTGGAGGTCCAGCAGCCAAGATACATCACGAGTATCTGCGGCTCTGTAAGATCCTTTGATCTCATCGAGTCTTCATTGGTTCCGTAGAGACGGAACCTGGAGAGAAAAAGTGCAAAATCAACTACCGCCTGCGGTAGCTAAGGTAGTCACGGCAGAACTTGCCGCCTCTCGTCTTGTTTCTTCTTTTTTTCAGAGCCCTAGAGGCTAGAGGCGTTTGCTTCGTGGAGCTGAGGTACCTCGCCTTACCAAATAGCATATACGGCCCAGAGCGTCTCTCGTCGGTCCCGCCCTGGCGCAGACAGCCGTAGGGAGACAGCGGCTGCATGCGGCGACTTGCCTGCCCAGCGTCCAAAGGGCATCGGCGGGCTCCGGGGGATCCACCCAGCTCCAATAAGACCATTCTACCCCACGGCAGCCGGACCCTATCAAGCGATCGGGCCAGTTCGGCCAGGCCATTGGGCCCTTACCTACCTACCCCCGACCTGCGGGGCCACCCTTACACAGTACGTACATCCCAGCACCCAACACAAGCAGAAGCTTTCATGCTTGCACAGCGCAAACATTGCGTGCCGATTCAAGACGCGACTACGCTATCTATGCTGCTTGCTGGTGTATCTCCGGCCCGGCTCTTGTCTCTGTGGTGGGTGACGTCCAACGAAGCTAATCTGAGAGCGAGAACCTCAACCAATTTCTTCTCTTGGATGTTGATATAAAAACTATCGTCCCCCCTCTGGCCTCTTCTCTTGTGACCTTGCTCTTGTCCTCTGTCTCATCATCAACCAACACCCACCTCCTTATCAGTGCTTGCTTGCGGTCTCTCTTGAGCTTGAACCACTTAGCACCTTGCTCTCATCCTCGACCCTCATCTCACAACGACATCTCATCTTATCTCGTCTTTGCGATACCAGCAATCTCATCCGCGATACCCCAAACGCCCTACATTTTGTTCGCTTTCCCCCCATTCTCAACCCTCGCAAAGCCACACACGAACACACACACACACACACACATTCACAATGGCAGCCTACCTCGCCTCCGCCCGCTACGGCAAGGACAACGTCCGCGTCTACAAGGTCGAGAAGAACGGCAACGTCCAGACCGTCACTGAGATGACTGTTTGCTGCCTCCTCGAGGGCGAGATCGAGACCTCGTACACAGTCGCCGACAACAGCGTCGTCGTCGCCACCGACTCCATCAAGAACACCACCTACATCAAGGCCAAGGAGAACCCCGTCAACCCCCCGGAGCTCTTCGCCTCCATCCTCGGCGCCCACTTCCTCGAAACCTACGCCCACATCCACACAGCCAACGTCAAAATCATCCAGCACCGCTGGACCCGCATGACCGTCGACGGCAAGCCGCACCCGCACTCCTTCTTCCGCGACGGCGAGGAGACCCGCAACGTCGAGGCCCGCATCTCCCGCAAGGACGGCATCGCCCTCACCAGCGCCATCCAGAAGCTCACCGTCCTGAAGTCCACCGGCTCCGCCTTCCACGGCTTCGTCCGCGACGAGTACACCACCCTCCCCGAGACCTGGGACCGCATCCTGTCCACCGACGTCGACGCCGCCTGGACCTGGAAGTTCCCGGACCTGGCCGCCGTCCGCGCCGCCGTGCCCAAATTCGACCCCGCGTGGCGCGCCGCCCGCGACATCACCATGAAGACCTTTGCCGAGGACGAGAGCGCCAGCGTGCAAAACACAATGTACAAGATGTGCGAGCAGATCCTCGCCGCCGTGCCCGAGACCCTGACCGCCACCTACTCCCTGCCCAACAAGCACTACTTTGAGATCGACCTCAGCTGGCACAAGGGGCTCAAGAACACGGGCAAGGACGCCGAGGTCTACGCGCCGCAGTCTGGTCCCAACGGCCTCATCAAGTGCGAGGTCGCCCGCAAGCCCGAAACCGCCAAGTTGTAGGCGCGAGCGAGCTTTGGGTGAGTTGGCCTGTGGGTCGAGTGAGTGAGATAAGGGGCTGTAGACTGAGGATGAGAGAAGATGCTTTTCTATGAGAATCCAGTGAGATTCGCCACTTGCATTTACCGGCGTCCATGACCTGGCCAAGCCTGGCCGGGTGTTCTTTTATAGTAATAATGAGCAATGACTAAGAATATGATAACCCATCAAGTTTGTTGTCCTTGAGAGAATTCCTGTGACTCGAGTGATACCGTCGTTTGGCTTTGGAACTGATCTCAGAATATGGGCAAGACGGAGAGCTTTGATGAAGCCACCCATGATACCATGTACGGGTTTCCAGAAAGGGCGTGGTGCTTCTCAATGGTGTTCCCCATTCTGCGACCTGTCCCGCAGTTGACACATATACTCGAACTGCTACTTGATTTTAAGATTCATTTGAGACAGGTGTCGTGAGGAGCGTTTTCCTTTTTTCTTCAAGCTGAAAAATTGGAAAAGGCCGTCAGCGTATCCATCAAGCTTTCACACGTATTGCGATATTTAAGAAAAACTTGGCAATTGACTCCAATTAGGAGATAATTTGTAAAAGTGACAATAACTTACAAACTCAGATGTATGTATTCAAGGTATTGGATAAGCAAGCAATACTTGTGTCTCTCGGCAGCAGAGCTCAGGAGTGATTCCAGACCCTGCTATTCGACATCAAAGGCAACGTGAACGTAGGTAAAAGCTTGATGGATCACATCTTCATACTGCTGCCATTATCACCCTTGACGAAACACGTCTGTCTATTTAAAATATATTAGTAGGTTCCCTGATACCGCACCTGACCTTCCTTGCTCCTTTTCAACCGGCACTCCTCTTCCCCTCGCCTATATCGAGACATCGTAGACTGTCGGTGCTCAGCTCGCAACATTCTCGACATCAGTTCCACCAGGTACGATGTCTTTCGAAAGCCTCAGGAGTTTCCAGGGGATCGCATTACGCATGTCATGCAGAGATCCCAATCCCAATAGCCAGATCATATCAATGACAGACATAGTCCAGCACTCGATGAGAAACACTGCCACATTGTAGAGGGTCATTTGACTTCAAATTTTTTGAGGATGCCCGTATTCGTACAGAATATACACGCCGACTCAAGGCGGCTTTACTTTACACCTCGCTCGCCCCTTCTCCCTCCATCACCCCTTTACAACCGTCGCACCTTATGGAGAGTCAACAGCAAAACCCCTCTCATATCCTCTGCGAATCCGCCTCCCGGATCGCCTTAACCTGCTCCTCCCACCCAGTCTTTCCCACAGGAACATCCCCAAACCGAATAACATTCTGCTTATACGGATGCGCCTCCCCCTCGAAAGCCTTAAGCCTCGCAAGCCTCTTCTCCCGCAGCCTATTCTTGGGCAACATGCCGCTCACCGCCTTACGCAGCACCTCGGCGCCGCCGTGATTCTCCATCAGCACGTCCATCGTCACCTGTCGCAGGCTACCGGGGCGGGTGTTGTGTCGGTAGTACGTCTTCTGCCACTTCTTGCGTCCCGTCACGTGCAGCGCCGCGCAGTCCGTCACCACCACGTAGTCGCCGCAGTCCGTCGAAGGGTCCCAGGTCGGCTTGTGCTTGCCCATCAGCAGCACGGCGATGCGGCTGGCCAGGCGGCCCAGCGAGGGCGGGGTGACGCCCGGCTGGGTCGAGAGGATCTCGTGGGGAGCCGAGGCGGAGATTTGGTGCCATACTCGGGAGTAGGAGAGGCGCGTCTGGAGAGTTGAGCAACTGGGTTAGCTATATGGTCGTGACGATAGCTCTCGGGAGCATGGAGAGAGGTATATATGATTGGGGAGGCTGCGAAAGGGGGAAAGCTTACTAGGCCAATGGTTTGCGACATCTTGAAATGTGTTTTCTGGGGCCGGCCGCCTCAGCCGACGTTGACGCTCGTTTCTGGTATTCGCGGACCGAATCGGTCAATAGGACAGTCCTTGCAGCGGGCAAGCCAGCGATAAAGCGTCGTCGTCGGATCTCGGAAAAGGAACGTAGTCGTCACGCGTTCTTGGGCGTCGTTGGCGATCTCCATTCAATAGCCTGACCCTGAGCTTCTCCCAAAATTTTGGAGCCGGGAGCGTTCTCACGTGATGATAATGATAAGATCCCATCAGCTCGGTGAACGAAAGCTGCTTTCGGTCTACCAGATGGTGCCAGCTGTTGTGGCTGCTCCCAGCTGCAGAGACCGAGCGCCGACTTTGGGGCCGATGCTCTCCAAAAACTGGCCCAAGCGTTCCCATGGCGGGGCAGAAGACGACGGAAAGCAATGAGGCGATGCGATCCAATTGCGCCGTGCTCGCTGTCCGCTGGTCGCGAGTGGGAGAGGAGGGGCAGCAGCACGATTTCAAAGCAAGCCCATATTCACAGACAACTTTACTCCACGATGGACCATGGGTATTAAACCCGCATATGCCGGCACAGTCATCCCATAGGTTGTTGGTACGCAATTCAACAGCATCATAACCATATCTATGAGCAATACCACTTGAAAACTTTGGGCATTTTGTCAAAGTGGGATGGTCACAGAGTAAACCCGCGACACACCAACATTCCCTGGGGCTCTTTTTTCCCCGAGAACGACAAACTCCATCCATCTCTCTCTCTTTATTTTAGGAACGGGAAACCACCGGAGTTTAACAACCTGACCTCACTTTTTTCTCATCTCAACAACAGCACAAACAACAAAGGGTCCTACAAGGACAGAGCATGCTCTACTGCCTCCCCGACTTCATCCACAATTACCGCTCTCTGCTACGAAGCCCGCTGCAGCCGAGCAGACGACCCTTCACCATGACCGTCTCATATCCTTTTCAGGTGAGTTCTCAATACCGTTTCTCTCTCTTTCCCTCTATGCCTGTTCTCCAGTCTGGTCCTCTCTTTCCGCTTTGCCCGGCAAGTCCAGGCAGTCAGTCAGGCAGTCCACCCGCCCCTCAAGTCTCCGTCACGGACACGGGACCTGGCCGAGGAGACAATGTCTTGTTCCTTCATTCTCGCTCGCTCGCTCCGTCGTCCGTCAGTACCGTCCCGTCGAGACGCACGCAATCCGGGTAGAGGGACATGCGCGTATGAGGGTCCATTCCGCTTCCGCACGCACATACACGGGCTTCATCGTTTGCCCATTTACTACCCATTGCCTTTTTCCACTTGTTCAAGTATACCCAAGTCTACAATACAGCAATGGGGGTGTAATTGCTCAACTGAATCAAATGGCTAATGAAACGTCTGAAAATCCAACACTAGACCGTTTTCGCCGTACCCATGACATGTGACAGCTGCGTCAAGGACGTTTCAGACTCGTTGTACAAGCTCGGGGGTATCACCAAGGTCGAGGCCAATCTCAAGGACCAATTGCTTTCTGTCGAGGGCACAGGTACGTTGTCTTCTGCCGCAAACTCTGAAAGCCTTTTTTTCCTTTTCTTTTCTTTTCCCCTTTTCACTTTCATCCTTCTTGCGGCTCATGGCTGTTGATCCCTCCTCCATCCACACACACACACACACACACGCCCCCTTCCCTGTCTTACACCCATGCTGTTGTGCGTCCCACATACACGATGCTTTGAGGCTTCCCAAGCTTGCCGGTTTGACAGTGCCATCGTGGTGATCCTTTCAAGATTGTATTCGCTGCCTTACGAACCTGTCATGGGGGATGGATAGACTCAAAAAATTGAACGCCTTACCGTTTGGAAAAAAGAAAAGAATGTACCTGCCGCTAACACTCTTGGCGACGTTTTGCAGCCGCACCATCAACAATTGTTGACGCCATCCAAGCCACGGGGAGGGACGCCATCCTGCGAGGCTCGGGAGGATCAAACAGTAGGTCAACTGAAGTCTCTTCTTTCTCTCCTTGGCTTTTGTGCTCTTGTCGTCCAAGTCCAACTTTTCTGTCCGCATTTCCTGTAACCCCTTGGCGGACATTAAGTTGTTTCCTGATACCACCCAACTTGTCTTGTCACACCGGCACTGGTGTCGGCAGATGGGGTCAAGTTTTGGGTTTTCATCGTCGTCGTTTAAACTCGCTCACCTGGGAACACCGGACTTCATCTGACCGCTGACTCACCACGTCCCTTAGGCGCGGCTGTGAGCATCCTCGAGTCTTTTTACCATGCAGATGATGCGCCTTCAAAGTCGAATGAGCAGCGAGACCGAGAGGTCAGGGGCCTGGCTAGAATGGTGCAGGTCTCCCCGACTACAACTCTGATCGACATGACGCTACGCGGCGTTGCCCCCGGGTCATACCGAGCTACAATCCGTGAGTACGGTAACCTGGCAGAGGGCGCATCATCGACGGGCCCTGTCTGGTCGGGAGGCAGTCAAGACGCCGCCGCCGCCAAGGGCTTCTTGGGTGTCTTCAACGTCGACAAGGATGGCAGAGGCAGCGCCTATCTCGACAAACCCTTTCAAATCTGGGAAGTTATTGGCCATGCCATGGTCGTCTCGAGACAAGATGAGTCTGCAGGGGCGTTGAAAAATGACCCAGACACGTTAGTCGGCGTGATTGCCAGGAGTGCCGGCGTGTGGGACAATGATAAGACGGTCTGTTCATGCACCGGCAAGACGCTGTGGGAGGAGAGAAAGGACGAGGTTGAGAAGGGTATGCTGTAGGTAGACTTTGCGGGAAGCCATCAGATGATGTATAAAGAATGATCATGAAATCAACGAGAGATTTTCAATGTGTTTCTTGCCAGGGAAGCTCGGTCGATGAGCCGGATAGGCTTTATGATGATCACCAATAGCCACACGTGGAGTGGCAGCCACCATAAACAATATCGTACGATTTTTGCGATGAACGTAGATTTTTGGACTGCATCTGCTACCTCAGGTCAAGCTCGATGGCCACGGCTTCCAGAACACTGACAGGCAAGATGCCAGGGGTTGTTGTGGTTATGGTGTGAGGAGTCCAAAGAACCGCACCATGGTCGGGTTTGACACTGAGGCTGAGCCTCTCCAATGCCTTGGCATACTGCCTACCCCAAGGATGAGGTTCAAGGACTCTCGGTTAGGTAGACAGATTCGCGGACCTGGAGTTGCGGGATGGGGGCACTTACCTTGGACTCTGGGGTCTCGGTAAGGTTGCGGGTTTCCATCCGTTGTCACAGGCTCGTGTAAGTTAACCTCTGTATGCAAAGCTTCCCAAGGCTTGTCTCGGTCAGAATTTTCCGCCGAGTTCTTGATCGTCTCTGGGCGATGGGACAGATGGGACAGCGGGGCCAGCAAAAGAGATGGAGCCTCTGTTCCCTGGGAACGGAGAGAGAGGCCTATGCCAGAGGAGGAGACCAACAGACATGGCTTCAGCGTCGGGCTTGATGCAGATCATGTTAGAAGAAACACTGACGACGGTTCCGGGAGATTCCCCCCACCGATCGAAGACCGGAAGGAGGCGGAGCGTAGGTGACAGGTGGTAGATGAGACGAATACGCGTTGTAGTTGAACAGGGACCAGAGGCGCTACCTTATTTTGCTGGATCGCAGGGGCGCCGGGACCGCCTTGCCGTGATAAGGCCCACTATCCGTAGTAAGGGCGTGTACGCAGATGGCATTACACAAGGAGGCTGATGCTGCAGTGCCAGTGGGAACTTGAAGTGACCGACATATACGTGCAAAGGGGTCGATGGGTGGAGAAGATGGCCGAGTTTGAAACTAGCTTAGGTAGGTGGTAGGCAAGCTCGAAATCGGATGCGAGAAGCGGTGGTCTGTACTCTTTACGTGCAGATTGCAGATTGAGTAAGGCAGCCCCAAAGATACGGGGCGGAGGCGGCAGGGGAGTTGAAGTGTTCGTTGACGACATGTCTAGGCTGATAATGACAGAAGGTTAAGTTAGTTGGGCTGCTTGAGAGCCACAAAGAAGCCACTGCGCCAAAGTGTATCGACGTTTATGATGCAAACGTGTTTGACGAGGAGGCTGATTCAGGAAAGAAGAGTCGAGGAACAGCTGAGTCTCGACCCGTGGGCAATGTTTGGTGGTGAACATGACAAGTGCCTGCCGGAGCTCCCTCTCGAGATTTGCATTTGCGGGCTTCGGACCGCGGAGGTTCGCATTGAACGACGGGGACAACGTAGATCTTGCCGCGTCACGGGTGGATTCATCCGTTCAAAGGGATGCCCAGACTTGTGACACTTGGGAAGAGAAGGAAAAATAGGGGAGTGGAAGGTTGACGGGCGAGCGAGCAGCAACTCGGAGCGGAGCGTTATGGGTGCCACTGTCTGCGATCCATGGCGCGGTCCTGTCCGTGTGTTGAGTGCATCGTGTCGAGTCACCTTGGCTTACCTTGGGGCCAAGACGAGATGTGGTTGAGGCGAATTATTGCGTATCAAGAGCGAGGGGCAGACCTAGGCAGTTGGCACCTAGACAGAAGACTACTTGGTAGCCCAGCAGACGGGAGACGCATGGCTTACGGCTCGATGACTGAGGGAACCCCTCAAACCCGGCCGGATGCTGCGTGGTAAAACAAGGTGAAGTTCACAGGCTTGACGTCTGGTTCATGCGGCGAAGTGGCTGGTGGTCTGGGCAGAGTCGCAAGTCGTTCCACACCCAAAGGTATGTGGAGAGTGACATTGCCCTAGCTGCGCCAACGTTACAGCAGAAGCTGCCTTTACCCAGATCAAGGTACCTTGGCAGGTGTGTGTGTTGATCCTTCGAGTACCTACGAACGAATCCATACCTATCCGTACCTACTACTCCGTACGGATACCTACCCTACCATGACTTGGTATGATAGCCAGGCACGTCACGATAGTGTAAGGTAGGTACGGATAGAGAAGAAGAAGAGCGTGCGCCCCTTGCACATGAGGTAGACAGCACGTCAGTGGGGACGCCAGCACGGGACTTCCAAAACAGCCTGAAGGACAAGCGAGTTTCGCAGACTCTTGAGACTTGGGACTGGCAGGGATAATTAGAGTTGGAGATGGTTTTGCTGGGTGTCCACGGTGTCTTTCCGTACCCTACGGCCCACGGGTACGAAGTACCTTAGGCAGTGATGTCCGGAGTACCTTGCTGTCTAATAACGATAGGGCGGTGCGTAGTTGGGGGGTTCCTTGGAAAGCATCTTTTCGGCTTCGGGCTTTGGGTTGCCCTGAGAAGGGATCTTCTTGTCACTGGCGATGCAAGTCATTCTAGCGAGGCCGCATTTTGTTCCTTTTTCGTTCTTTTTGGAAGAAGCTGCGTGGGTCCTGGCTCGTGCTTGCCGTTGCTTGTAAGTTGTCCCCGCTGTCTTACATCATTTCTAGGTACCTTAGGTATTGGAAGGAGTTAGAGCGAGAGTTGAGTAGATTTTGGACTTGACTCTCGATTGTAAAGAACCTACCTTAGGTTATCTGTTCCTTCCCCAGGACGACCTCGACAAGATCACGTTCCTCTTGGCAAGATACGTACTTGGACAACGTGCCTCTTTTTGATGGGCGGGAGGAAGGAACGCCTGGCATGGATGCTGGGTTAAGATGGCAGTGGCTTCCGACGGGACACAGGCGAGGCAGGTACGCTACTTTCTTAGTCAAACGTCAACGACGTGTGGCTGAGCTTGTTGAGCCTTCAAGTATCGGATGCCTAGACCCTACCTACTGTATGTAGAGGTTGACGGCTGAAGCCAAGTCTCCCCTCGACGCATCCTGGTCCTTGCTGAGTAGCCCTGATCCCTCAACCTCGCGATGACTCGACTCTCTTTCACACGCACTCTCTCCCTCCCTGTTAATCCGACAAATCTTACGATATCAACTATTGCGAATTTAACCTAGGCTAAGCATCGACTCTGGACAACTGCACAGACACGACTGCCGATATTGACGCCAGTGCCTTCGCCAGTCAGTGACGGTCCTATGGACGGCTGGAACCACTTGTGGACCCGCTGCAGATAAGGTTGTCTAAATCCTAACCAGGACCGGATGGGATGAGCGATGCCCCAGACGAGACGCCATAAAGGGCAATAGAGAAGAACCTGCCGACGAACCTATTCCTTTCCTTGGCGGCCTCTTCTCCTCCTTCGAGCCAAACCCCGCCATCCGGCCAATCTACTGGCGAGAGACTTCACACAGCCCGTCACACCACGATGGCCTCATGATATGCCAGAATCAACCGAGCGGTACCTCACTCCTCCATCTTGTGCAAATTCCAGTCCTGTGGGATGCAGCTCCCCATGCAGGAACATCGTCCTAGACTGTTACCAATACCTACAGCCTGGACTGCCGAACCTACGTGTCTGCGCCGCAGTCTCGCAGATGTCTTGACTTGGGCTGAGGGGTCTCTAGATTCTGTACCACCAACCTTCGGTTTCCATTGCCGATCCTCGTCGACCAAAGACAGCCCACCATCTCCAGAGTTCAACCTATTGTGATACCACAACGACCGCCTAGTGCTCAGATATATGACCTACACGCCTCCTTCATAGCGGCACCTTGATTCGATCTGGGCTGATCAATTTGACGGACGCCCATCCGCTCGACCTGGGCTTTGGTTGATGAAGGATGAAGCACCCATCTGACGGACGGAGAAACTTTGGTTGGAAACGTCCGGACGGGTCGGGCTGCCCAACTGGCGACATATCACCCGCACCGAGGCGGCCAACGCTGCCAGTTCGCCGGGTCAGCCCAATCAGAAAAATATCACCGGCGCTTAACTTATCCCATATGCACTCTGCAAAGAATGGCACTTTCGGAAGATGCTATTTTAAACAGTTCAACGTCATTTCTCCCAGCTCCAGTGGACTGGTTTGGCAGACCATTTCCAGTATGGCGGCCTGCAAGCACTTACACCTCATCCACTTTTCAACCTCTTCTCTGGGTTCGCAAAAGCAACTAAGAAGAAAACCCCCGGTGACTGAACGAGATCGGATGGCCTTGCAGTTGCAATCACCTCTGCAGCATCTCCATATTCAGCCACGAGGCGTGATACAGCTGCAAGCTGCGGGTTGCAGTCACGGTTCACTACGGAGTACCTACTGTACAGTAGTAGGGGCTAAGAGAAGCACGACTTACAACTGTGATCAAGGCGGCGTTAGTCACTCTTCTACGCGCCCTTGGCCCCTGGCAACTTAGTGGCTCAAAGGTCCGGCCCACGACCCGTATTCCTGGGGGCCAATCAGGCACAGCTCGCATTCGCTGGAACGCTTCGTGCATGGGAAGCGACAGGCCCTGATTCGCAGTGGTTGCACGATGCCTGCGATACCCGGCATTAGTGCATTACCGTTAAGGGACCGCTGCCTCTTGTCCAGCTGCCACGCACACAATGAGGACAGGAGAGGGGACACTGAGAAGAGTCAATCGTCGTCAGCGTCCCTCCCTGGAGGATCAGGAGAAGCAGACAGTCCAAAACAGCCACTCCCTTGTCAAGCCTACCGCAAGATACGCAGTATGCGATCTGACCCGCGACGCCATGACATGGACTACGGCTTCCTCCTCGCCCATCACTCACTGCCCAGGCGCTCTCTTACACCCCCCCGGAACGGACGTCGGATGGAATGCCCAGACAAACTAGGGGTGGCTCCTCCAAGACGAGGCACAGAGGGCCCGAGGGGATCCCAACCCAACGTTCGATGTCCAGCATATTCACAACCCAGCATCTGGCGACGAGATATGCAAAGTGGTTCGATTTTGAGAGAAAACACTTGATTCTATCACTCAATTTAGACAAGTTTGTTTCCTCCCGCCGAACGAAATACCTTGTCGAATATCCAAAGAAGGATCTGCGTGGCTGCTTAAAGTGTTCTGGGACGACGTCTTGGGAAAAGTCGACAGACGGGAGATGATCTCTTTGGCGCCGAGCTATCTCACAAGTCACAACTGTGTGCTCTGTACTCCGTATGCCTCTGGAAGGCTGTATCCATCCTGTACAGTCTGTACTCACCTCGAACATAAGTTCACGTTTTGTCACCGAGGCAGATCCTGTAATGGCCAAGATCGGTTGCACAATTCGTCTCTCCCCCAAACCCAGGCTGGGCGTGCGAAAGCCGACCAAAAGACACCCGGAATTCTGTTGCAGCAAGATACACGCCCCCTTCATCCACCGAGCTGCCCAAGCCACTTGTTCCGGGCCCTCTGCTCTCTACACCCCCCCTTCCAAAGTCGATACTCGACCAGGAAGAAGAACAACCCCCTTGGATCCCCCTGCGACTCGCAACTGGACGAGCACCGGAGCACAGGCATCCTGAGCGTTTCCTGACTGAGAATCGAGTTGGAATATCAATCACTGATGAGCACCTTGCATGATATACACCCAGTCTCGCGGCCCACAACCCAACCAGTCAAGTCCCCCTTGGTCCCTCGCTGCAAGCACCGACTCGACTCTATTTTCTCTACCCTCCTTTCTGTAGGCGCTGGCTTTTCGTCC